GGTCATTACATATATTCAGCAAACGAACAGATTTAAATAACTAGCAGAGCAGTATTGCTCTTCTATTGCTCTTCTCTTATGACGTCCACGCTCCCCTCACCGCCAGGCCTGTCTACCTCTATCTTTCTCTTCGCTGTTCTATTTTAACTGTTTTTTATTTTTAAATTTTTTGTCAGTATGTTCACCAACTGTTTCCATCTGTATTATCGCTAGGCCTACAATGGTTATTTAACCGCTGGCCTTCTTTATCAGGAATCAATAAAGATATAAACTAATACGCATGAGTACTCCTTACTTCATGGTGTGTGCAGTACTGTTAGTGCAGGAGTACTTGTATCTACTCTTGATTTCTTTTTTCACTGGGTTATGCATACTTCAGATAGATATATTTGAATTAAAATGGATATTTCTACATGATGAATGGCTGCCATAGCAAAACGAGTAATAGAAAGGTATGAAACGGTGTTACATGAGCATTTTCTATTCTCGTAATGCGTACTTTATTCTAGAGTTGCTATTGACGAAAATGAAACGCAAGATTTTACCGGTGTGTGGCTTGATTGTACATCTGAAGAAAATAAAGACTTTTATATTTCTCTGAAAAGTATTTTTAAGAACTTAAAATCGTTTAATAATAGTTCTAAGTGTATCACATATATATCCGAATCGGAAGAAACACAAATATTTTTTATTGTATCAAGCACAGAAGGCGAACACGTTATTCCACTCGTTCATGATGAACTATCACAAATTGTATGGATTTATGTTTCATGTCAGAACCAAATGGAATATAATCATTGGTTAAAAGAAGATTATTCAAAAACTCGTAATAGAATTTTTATTGATAAAAATTTATTATTTGAACAATTAGAAAAAGATATTTTAGATCAAAAGCGTGATGACGCTACTCCGACAACATATAAAGAAGCATTACCATCATTAAGCTTGTTCAAAAAGGATGAAAAAAATAGCACTATAAGAAATTTGAGCAAAGAATCAGTTCGGTTTATTCATTTTCAACTACTTATCGATATCTTGCTTGATATGGAAGAATCGGATACGACAAAAGAAATTATGCTAAAAGAATGTCGACGTTGTTACCAGAATAATAATATAGAACTGGAAAAAATTTCAAAATTTGATCAAGAATATAAGTCAGATAAAGCAATCTGGTGGTATACATGTTCTTCATTCTTACATCGTTTACTTAATAAAGCTTTAGGCTTACAAGATCCCGACTATTTATTCATATTTCGTTATATTATTAGCCATTTACATAATCAACTATTGAAGTTACACTCTAGTCGTACTGAATTGATACCATCAACTGTCTATAGGGGCAAAGTTCTGCCGTCCAACATTGTTCAAAATTTAAACGATAATGTCAATGGCCTTGTATCAATCAACGGATTCTTATCAGCAACCACAGACAAAAACGTCAGTCACATTTTTTGTGCTAAAGGTGATACTATTCCTGAAGGTCATGAAAGGGTGTGCTTTAAATTAAAAATAGGTAATAATATTGCAAATAAACCTTACGCTGCGATTAAAGAGTTGAGTGCTATTCGAGATGAACGTGAAATTTTGTTTTCAATTGGTACCGTGTGGCGTATAATATCTGTTAACGAAGACAAAGATAACCAAATTTTGATTATTGAATTAGAATTAAGTGACGAACAAAATCAGAATCGCCTTGAATTAACAAATTCTTTAAGAAAACAAATTGGTGAAACATCGACGCTTTTAACATTAGGAAATTTTTTAAGCGAAATCGGTGATTATGAAAGAGCATCAGGATACTATCAGATGTTACTAAAGCAATTACCAAAATATCACGAAGATCGAGGAAAAATTTACAATAATTTGGGGTGTATTCGATATGAACAAGGTGACTATCATGCAGCTGAAATCTACTTTGAAAAAGCAATTGCAATAACGAATATTAATAACAATAATAATTTATCATTGGTTGTAGCCGAATATAATAAAGAAATGGTTCATTTCGATAACATTGTATCTACAACTACATTACAATCGATTGAACTGTTAACGGAAGCTTTATCAATAAGAGGTTCATCAACATCAGAAATATTTAATAATCAAGGACTTGTGTATTATAAAAAACGTGAATATGCATTAGCAATAAACGCCTATCATCAGGCGCTTGAAAATCTATTAAAATTTGACCCTTATCCGCCTCATATATCAGCAGTTTATAATAACATTGGTGTAGTACATTTCCAAACAGAAAATTATGATTGTGCATTAATCAACTTCCAATTAGCAATTGAATCTGGCTTAAAATTCTGGCGACCTGAACATGATTGCATTAGGAGATATTTGAACAATAAAGCAGTAGTACTCAGACATAAAAAAACTCATAATACAACTATGAGTGAAAAGCCAAAAGTCGAGGATTTGAATGTAAAAATATTTGATCTTGATCGAAGATTATCCCCGTGTTCCATAGGAAATGATCTTGATAGTTTATTAAAATTAGCAGATAAGTACTGCCATAATAACATGATTTCGGATTTGGCTGCAATATATAATAAAATTGGTAGTATCTATCATAAGAAACAGGATTATAGTTTAGCATTATCTTACTATCAAAAAGCAATTGACATTGCAGTGCTCGAACCTGAACAACATGGCATTGCCGATTACTATGCAAATATTGGTTTAGTATATGCCATACACAAGAAGTTTGAAAGTGCTCTGGAAAATTTTAATAAAGCATTAGATATTAAACGTTTAAACCTTATACGGTACAAAGATGATATTGTTAGGTTACTGAGATATATACATTCTATTAAATTGGAATACAAAGGCAGCAGCGACATATTAGATGACTAAGAACATTTTGTTTAAAAAATGAATCTACCCAGTGGAAAAAAATGAGCGTGATTCCGGAAGTTCCTGCAGGAAAAATGAAACATTTTCACGCGGGAAGTGATCATCTTCTGCGTGAAAAAAGCACTTTTTCCGCCACATTCTGCAGGAATCTTTTGAAAATCTGAAGAACTCCTTTCTTTTCTTAGGGAAAATTCCCGCCGAGTTTAAGACATTCACGACAAAAAATCTCGGCAGAATTCTTCTCTTTTCCCAATGTAGAAGAATTCTGCAGAAAGTTTTTGTCTTAAACTCGGCGAGAATTGTTGCGCAGAATACTGCGGAAACATTTTCTCCAGAAAAAGATTGCCATGATTGCCTCGCTTTTCATTTCATATCTCATCATGCCGCTATCCATTTTTCTGATCTTACATATCGTAGTCAGCCTTACTCTACTTAGTTTTCCTGCAGAAGACTTACTTTTTCCGCACAGTGTTATGCGTGGGATGTTTACTTTTTGCGCAGAGTTGACGAATAATTTGAATTTTTGTAGGTTTGAAGACGGTACCTTCGAATTGCATGACAAACACTTTCTCATTAAGCCATCGCGAATATGCTACAATCAGATAGATTTTGTATATATATTGAAAAAAGAGTCAACTTTTACTTATTTTATTTTTGTACACCTTTTTTATGGATTGTGCACTCCACAAACAAATTAACAATTCTTACTAATTTTTGTTTTACTAACAACTTTTAATTAACTATGGCTTCATTCGTGTTTTTCTTATGAAGGAAAATCAAAATTCCTGCGAAACAAAAGGAATTTTTTGAATATCGATTTGCACGCAGAATTTTCGCGCAAATTCTTCTATCGAGTGACCAGGTACACGAATCTCCTGATTTGACTAGATCACTCTAATTTTAGAGTTTCCTCCTGACAAAAAATTTGCTGATATTAAGAGCTGATTGTAAAGTTTATCTGCTGTTTCTCCTTTTCAGCATGTCTTGCGCTTATTTTCATAGGAGAAATTCAACGTTCACTTCCCCAATAGGATTTGGGAGCCAAAAGTATTCCGAAAAAACCATGAACCAAGTTTCGCACAAATGAAGCATTTAGCAGCAAAAGCCTAAGTGTAAAAGTTGTTCAGAAACAAATCTTCTGGATTATGAGCGAAGAAGTTTTTGAAATTCTTTAAACTCGATTTCTAAATTTTAATTTAAGAAATTTTTCAGTTTTTAAAACCGTGTTTGCGTATTTAAAAATCGAGTTTAAAGAATTTCAAAAACGCCCTAGTTCATATTTCAGAGAATTTGATCATGAACAACTTCTGCATTCAGATTTTTGCTACAAAATGCTTCCTTCGTGCGAAACTTCGTTCAAGACCTGGATTGAAATACGAGTCCAGTCCAAAATTAAGCTAAATTTTCAACTATTGAGTTTATCCTTCAAATTTTTCCAGTTTGTAGAGTATATCTCGAAATGTGTATCCTGACGTTTCAGCTTACGATCACTGGCTGACTGAGAACACATTTACTTACTCTCAACATTTAGGATGATTTCAAGAAAAAATGTATTTTTTAAAGTATCAGATGTTGATATAGAAAGATGCAAAGCGGTCTATGTTCTAGGCCATGAAATTCCCTACTACCAGAAGGGGTTTAGCTCAATCTATTGAGGTAATTCCGGTCACTCCGTATTCCACAAAGGTGTGCAAGAAAAAGTAAGAAAAAGAAGTAGTCAGTTGGCGATTAACCCGATACACAGGTCTTAAAATAGGATCTTTTAATCGGTTTTATTCTCATCGAAGATTAGAGGTTACTTGGATGATGATTAACTTACATTTATAGTCGATTACTAGTTTTTCGAGATGAAGCAGCATTTTGCTTATTTCAATTAGCGCTCAAACTTCTGTTAGTATTTTCTTCTTTCAGTATTGTTTTGAAATAAACCTTAACAATTTTTCCGAATATTTTTTAATCTATTAGTTGATTAGGATTTACAAGAATTTGAAATTTACGGGAACTAATTAATATTAACCGACAAACAAATTTGATTGCAAACTGCATTCCTTGTCGTAAAGATGACAGTATACATGACGACCGCAAGCTTGACTTTAATATAGCTGCTTGCTCTTCTAAAAATCTCACAAATCGGCCTGTTTTTCTGATCCAAGTGATCATGCTGGGTGAAGTATTATTGATTTAGCAAATAGTGTAGAGTAAGTACTTGTACTCTTTGGGATATATTTCTGCTGAAAAAATATCTCGCAGAATCCTGAAAGTTTAATAGAAAAATAGAGTTTTCGGTAGAAAAACAATTCTGCTTAATTCGGGAAAAAATCTCGCCGTCAATGAATGGTTTCCGCCGAAAAATGGAAATTCCCAACGAAAAAATATTTTCCCGCAAGCTCTTGAGAATGATACGTTTTTTTTCACCGGGAGTACAATCGCGAGGCGCCATTTCTATATAAAAATGCTTGAAAAAACTTACAACAAGCAACTTACAACAAGAAGCTTACGACCGTGAAATTCTTCAAAAACAATACTTCTCATCCAAATATAATCGTATTACTGTTCTATATATATTTATTGTACTGAATATGAAAAATAACAGTTGGTAGCTATGCATACATAATTATTGTAAACATAACAAGTCGAGCGAAAGTACTAGAATCATTTAATGAATCGTATCGATTAGAAAAAATGTTTCGTTCTTTAGTATTATTCTGTCTTGTTCCTCTTATATTAACTGCAGATACTGATGATATCGTTCAAGACGGTTTTTGTCAAGGTATGATTATCCTAGATGAAATAATTCACTTGTTTCTCAAAAAGTAGAACATCCATTTACTCCCATTGTTTTGTTCGTTGTTAATCCATTATTCTAGGTGCTGGGAAAAATTTTGAAATCTTTGGTTTGCAATTGTTTCGTGAATTATCAAAAACAACAAAAGAAAATATCTTCATATCACCAGCAAGTATATCAATGGCATTATCAATGGCTACGTTGGGTGCTTCACAACGAACATTAAGCCAATTATTACAAGTATTAAATGTAACATCGATTGATGATATAAATTGTAGATCAGCATCAATATTATCAACAACAGCAAGAATGGCTGATGATAAAATAATACAAATACATTTAGCCAATCGAATATATATTGAAGAACAATTCCATCTACGAGAAGAGTTTATTGAACGATTGGAGCAAATTTATTTAACAACAATTAAATCAGTTCGTTTTAGTAGTAAAACACAAACTATTAATGAAGTTAATCACTGGATTGAAGAACAAACCAATAAACTGATTAAGAATATGTTAAACGAACGGACTATTGATCCAGATACGGTTATGCTTATCATTAATTGTATCTATTTCAAAGGTAAGACACTTTACCGGGCTATTTTCAGCGAGAGATACCGATGTTTAAGATTTTGAAAACATCGAATTGTTTTGGTGGTTTTCAAACTAGTCGTTTGAACTAAAAAGATTTTCTTCACTATCAATTTTCTGCCTACACAACAAGATCTGGGTAAAATTGCTTAAAATAACGTTTCATCACACAGTCGACACGGACGAGGGCTTATAGGAAGCCAAATCGACTCGCTTGGCCTTCTGTCATCTTTATTCAGCAGCATTGATAGAAAATTCATGTTTTGAAACATTTTTCAGTTAAAAACCGAATAAGAGTTTGGCGTCACAAGACGTAATTGAGTATATGCATCCTGATAATTAGCGATGGAGAAAAGCGAGTGAGTCCATTTGGCTTCTTATGAGCCCCGCGCTTGGAAGAATAATTAGGACGGTAATCAATGGAAATGTACAACTCATAGCTACCGATTGTGATTGCATTTACAGTCACAAAATTTAATAATGTCTGTTAATTAGTCGCAGGAGTTTCAGGTACGCTCTAAAAGAAATCACAAATAAAAGCTTAAATATTTGAAAAATGAATCAATTACACCGTTACAGCGATGAATTAAGACTTTCTAGGAAGAGGTAATGGCAAGTTTAGGAGTTTAGTAAAGGAATTTTAAGAGCTTATCACCGGTATGAGTGCGGGATAGTGATAAGGCCAGATGGTTAATA